AGGGAGAAGAGGTTAAGTGTATTTTGTTTGAGGGTTGACTACTCCTAATATAATAAATAAATAAATAAATAAATAAATAAATAAATAAATAAATAAGGCAAGAAAGCTGTAGCAGTTGTTTCCTAATAAAAATACACTCCTGCCCCCATATAAAAGCTCTGCCCACTGTGAGGTTAGTTAAAAATCTTCCTGCACGTTCCTCTAGGAACACATGAGATTTCTCTAGGTTTTGGTGTGGGAAATCCGGAAAAATATATCCATTTGGTCTATGAAATTGTATATTGTTACAGTGAGTCAATAACTGTAGATCCTCAATAAAACCAGTTTTGTTCTGTTTAGGATATCCTTATGGCTTTGAAAATTCCAGTCTAGTTCATGATTAACAAGTTTGTTGGGTTCATCAGCCTTAGATACAGGATGGTAAAGGAAACCCAAAACTACGCTCCTGAAAGCTCACCCCACCCCCATTTTCATTTTAGAGAATGATGTAAGCCATACTTTCATTCCTTATTTCACCTTTGTAAAAGTGCGTAATCCCCCTCTCATTCACGTATATAGTCCACAGACTCTCAGTCAGGAGTATGCTTATCAGAGAGGAGATTGCCTTATAGGCATATAGACCAAGTTTAACATTGTGACATTTTTTTTTCCTATTGATCTAAGAGAGAGCTTTATTAAGGTATAGAATTGAAAACACACCACGTGATTGCTCCATAGGAAGGCTCTGCAAACTATTGCCAACTGTTTCTGTAGATAAAGTTTTGCTGGAACATAGCCATGTGCATTCAGTTACTTAGCATCTGTGTGCTTTCTCACTGCAAATTGTAGAATTGAAGAGTTTGCAACAGAGACTATTTGACCTGCAAACCCTCAAATATATACTATCTAGGCCCTTTACAGAAAAAAAATGCCAAGCCCTGCTCTACAGAACTCTTTGTTTCACAGACATATTGTATTTTATAGAAGAAATATTCCAAGATGGAAAACGAAGGCAGTTTTCTCCTGAAGTTTCCAGCTTGGCAAACCATACTCTCAAGGCAGTGATAGAGTTGTGAAGATACATGATGAGTCTCTCAGATGACTCTCCATGGCCTCCATGTTTCCCAGTAGGGGGACAACCCATGTATCTGCCATCTCCCTGTACTCAATTCTAACCTGAACAACAGGTTTGAGAAGTCATCCCTGTTGTTTGGAATGGTGGTGACATTTAATAATTCTTTTTTTTTTTTTTTAAGATTTTACTTCTTTATTAGAGGGGGAGGGGGGGCAATTGAGCATGAATTCAGGGTGGAGGAGCAGAGGGAGAGGGATAAACAGACTCTGTGTTCAGCGTGATGTCTGATACAGGGCTCAATGCCACGATCCTGAGATCATGACCTGAGCTAAAGTCAAGTTGGTTGCACAACCAACTGAGCCACCCAGGCACCCCGAGGTTTAATAATAATCCTTTCTAGGAAGGTAAGTAGGAAGGATAATGGGTCTCAGTAAGTGAGTATCCAGGTGTGTTGTGGTTCCCCATTGGTGGTGGGGAGACGATGTGCTCCAAAGACAGCCTTGTTGATGGTCACCTGGAAGTAGAATTCCATAATTGTTGGAATGAAAATATTCTGGGCAGGCAAGAGTTCTCTATGAACAGCATAATGACAGACACATGGGCTATTTTGGGGAATTTGGAAATCTAAACAAATCTAATACTACAACCCACCAGGAGGGCATTGGTTTTTCAGAGGACGGTTTCTGATTAGCATCTTTGGTTTGCTTAATTATAGACAACTGACCTATTATCTGAAACCATACTAATGTACAATCATTTAATTTCCTTCCCTCTATTAGGAAATGCCATGGCAAGGTCTAGTACCAGATAACATTTTCTGTTATAAAGGTAGCATCTCTTTGTAATTTGAATCTGCTGTTTATTTTATGTGAAATAAAAAGCTTCCATAATTTATGTTAGAGTCCCTGTTCCTGATAGAGTTCTGGTGTTTAATTTACTTTAAACAGTTGTTACTTCAAAAAGTATAAAATGAATTTGTGTTAACTAGAAAAATTCAAACATTGTGGAAGTCTGTAGAGTAAACAGCCTTTCTCCCTGTGGATTAAAATGTTAAAGGTTGGGACGCCTGGGTGGCTCAAGCGGTTGAGCGTCTGTCTTCAGCTCGGGATGTGATCCTGGGGTCCAGGATCGAGTCCTGCATCGGCTCCTGGTGGGAAGTGGGCTTCTCCCTCTGCCTGTGTGTCTGCCTCTCTCTCTCTCTTTCTTTCTCTTTCTGTGTCTCTGTGTCTCTAATGAATAAATAGAATATTTGAAAAAAAAGTTAAAGGTTGACTGTGTGGTTCTCAGTGATGTTTTGGAACTGGTTTAAATGTTCTGTTTCCTACTTCTGTGCTACTTGGTTTGTAACATCTTGGGGTGGCCAGCACCCTACTGAGATTGCTGAGTCTTTCCGCCTGGGTGGGAAAAGCTCCAACCCTTTAAGGAGGCTTAAGATCCAGACTTGGACCCATTGGCTCATATGACAGTCATGGATGTAGCCTCAGGCAATGGAAAGAACAGCATGGGGAAGGAGACTGACTTGCAGGGTTGAAAGTGGACTGGAGTTGTCTCACTAGCTTGGGCCGCCTGACCCGTCTGTTTTCTTACCCATAAAGTGAGGATGCTCACATCTCCCTTCCAGGATGGTTGCGAAGTTTAATTATTCAGGAAAACACAGATATGCTGTGTTGGAGAAATTGAAACGGTTGGGGAGACCGAATATACAAGTATTATGGTGTGAGTGAAGTTGAGGATGGCAGAAACCGTGTGAGGGGCCGAGAGCTGGGGCAGGAGAGGGGGAGCGATTTCTGAGCAGAATCTTGGGGAGGAGTGGGGGTTTGCAGGGGGACTTGGAAGGGGTGAAGGCAGCGGCTCAGCTGTGTGGAGCAGGGTAGCGTGGGTAGGGAATCATGACCAGTCCTGAGACGGATGCAGCCCTCGGTCTAAGGTTTATCCAATACAGGAATCCCTTCAAGAGCCCGTCTCTCAAGCTACTCCTCCCTCCAGCCTCTGCCCCTTTGCACATGCCAGTCCCTCTGCTTAGAATATATTTTTCTCTTTACATTCCTGGTTAAGTCACCCCAACCTTTGGGCTTCAGCTCAAGTGCCACATTCTCAGTAAAGCCTTCCCAGTCCCCCCACCCCCATATTGTCTCTCCATTCGTGCAACAGCTGTCCTTTCCTTTCCTGTTGCTTCTGCATTATAGTTCCGAGGTCCTCTTTAGGAGCTCCGGGTGTAGGCCATACTCCACTGCATGCCCATTCCCAGCCCAGCACGTGGCACGTACTAGGAGCGCCGTATTCGTTGCGTGCTGCACAAATGAACGAATTCTCATCGCTTCCACAGCTGTGACCCTGGCCTTGCTCTCCTATCTGATCCCTGCAGACCCTTTCTGTATTAGTTTCCAGTGGCTTCCAAAAGAAGTTACCACCAACTTGGTGGCTTAAAACAAGACAAATTTATTCTTTAATCGTCCTGGAGGCCAGATGCCTGAAATCAAGGTGTTGGCAGGACGGTGTTCCCTCTGGAGGCTAGAGGAAAAATCTAGGGGATTTTTCCTTGCCTCTGGTGACCAGGTGTCCTTGGCTTGTGTCTGCAACTCAACAATCTCTGCTTCCATCTTCACGTGGCCTTCTCCCCTGTGTGTAGATTTTTCTCCTCTTCTGTCTCTCATAAGGACATTTGCCAGTGCATTCAGGGCCCACACTGGTATTTCAGGATGATGAAATGTGAGAGTCTTACTTATGTCTGCAAAGACCCTTTTATCAAATAGGTTCTAGAGGTTAGGATGTGGACATATCTTTTTGGCAGCAACAATTCAACAAAACCCACCCTCCACTGTCCCTTTCCCTCAATTGAACTGGCCTGTCCACCATCTCTTGTCTATCCATCATGCTTTTCTCCATCCTTGTGGACACCGTTGCCACCTCTGTTTCCTTGGAAATCCCTCTTCCTTCTATGAATGCTGATATTCCTGCATTCTCTGTGGGTTCTCCTGTGCCCTCCAGGTGACAGGAGCTGTCTCCCCTTGGAAATCCGCCAGCCTCTCCCTACAGTCCACTCTTCCTGCAGGAGGTCCTTCCCCCCTGCCTGCCATGATCAGCAGCATCATGCAGGTCTGGAGGCTGAGGCTAGTGTTCTTACTTCTTCATATTCCCTACAGTGCCAAGGATGTTAGTAGAGACTCGGGAAATATTTATGGTTGGTAAAAAGTGTCCCAAAATAAAGACAAATAGTGACCATGCAGTCATAGCCACCTTTCAGTTGTAAGAATACATATGCATGGATATAGTCAGGGGATTTTAATTTTCTTTAACAGGGACCAGGCATCAATTCCAGTGGGCTTATGTAAGGGGTTTAACATGCAGTAGACAACCCCAGGGACATTCAGGGCCTGGAATCAACCTTCAGTTTGGTTGTACTGACTGGAATCAAGGTGCTGACCTTCATCCTTCTTGGCGCTGCATCATTTCTTGTCTGAACTCTGGAGTGGTTTAGCTATCACAGGAATGACTTATTTCTTGAAGGTCTAGTTGCTGGGAAAGGGATCAGAACTGTTCTCAGTGGTGGATCTCTCTGGGTATCTCCATTCTCTCCATCTCACTGCCAATCAGTGTCCCCTGCCGGCCCCTCATGGCCACTCTGCTTCCCCACCTCCAGCCTCTGACTCACCAGGGCTCCAAATCCAACCAGACTCTGCGTGGCCTTCCAGTGTGAGTGCTTGTCATCATCTAACTGCCCTGGACTTGCCATGTTGCAAACTCCCAATCCCTAGTGCAGACTGCTGTTCACCTTGGTCTGGGCAGCAGTGGACAGGAGGTCAGACAGAGCAGAGGTTCATTGTTCAGAGACTGTGGATATGCAGAGAGATGGTTCCTTAGAGCATTTGGGTGGGAGGCCATGAGAGGCATGTCTGCTCCAGTATGGAACTTCCAAATCACTGAGTATTGGTATCTTATTTTTCAGATTGATTGTGTCCTGTGTTGAAGATGTTTCCAGAACAACAGAAAGAGGTATGTCATCACAAATTTGAAAATAAATAATCCATGCATTTTGATTCACTGAAGGTTAGTTCTTCATTCATCAACCATCAGTCTGTGGTGGAGAGTCAAGATACTTCAGGGCATCCCAGAGGAGGGCTAACGAAAGAATAAAACACCTGCCCTCCTGCTCCCACTCCCCCCACTCCCCAGCATTGGCACATTCTTGGCTCTCATTCCTTGGTTCCAGGGACTGAGCTGGCTCTTAGCTCACTCCCACCCACTGCTTATAAAAGTATCTTGTTCCATGACTCAGATTTCTCCCAGGCTCTGACTCCCACCCTTTGCTTTGAACAGCCTTCCTCTGGCTTTCTTGGATTTCTACTTGGTTGCCTCATACGTGAATCTCCCCACCTTGAGTAACAACCCAGAGGAGCTGTCTGCCATTAGTTTCAGTTTTGCCTCACTTATTGCCTAGTAGATCTCTTGGCTTGGTTTCACACAATTCAGAGAACACTGTGCCTTCCCGAACCAAGCCTGATTGATCTCCCAGGCCTCTAATCCCAGCTTCCAGAGCTTCGTCTGACTAGAAGGCGGGTAGGACAGCCACCATACCAACCTTTTGCTGAGTGGCCCTCTCTTGAAAGTTGTTTTTTTGTTTTTTTGTTTTAGAGGGACAGAGAGAGGCGGAGGGAGGGGCAGAGGGAGAGAGAGACGGAGAATCTTAAGCAGGTTCCATGACTAGCACACAGTTCCGTGAGGGGCTCGATCTCACAACCCGGAGATCATCACCTGAACAGAAATCAAGAGTCAGACGCTTGACCAACTGAGCCACCCTGGCGCCCCTTGAAAGTACCCATTTGTCCTACACTGCCTACCATTGTACCACATACATTGTCACTAATGAAACTGAATAGTGGCAGAAGGGCTTTTTAGGGAATACACAAACACACACACAAACACGGCCAAGTGGCCCTTTGTCTTGTCCAAGTTTAAAGCACTATACAATCCAAAAAATGCATTTCAGATAATCCTTCTCGAAGCTTCTTTGCTAGATCTCACATCCTTTCTTTCAGCCCTGTCTTTGGGTTCAGACTGTCCTCATTAATCTAGCCCATTTCGACCCTTTAATTCCAGATTGGGCTCCCCCATTTTCTTTTTTAATTTTTCTTCTTCTTATCTATTTTTTGGCTCCCCCATTTTCAAAGACTGTTTTGGTTTGTTTTTTAACTTTCTGAGTATAGCATGTATACCGTAAAACGCATCAAATGCCCTAATCTTATATGTACAGCTCAGCAGATTATCTCTTATGTGTACACCTGCGTAACCACACTCAGGTCGAGGTGTGGATGTTTCCAGCATCCCAGAAGGTACTGTGTGTCCCTTTCTAGTCAGTCCCTCTATTTTCTCTACAGAGGAAACCCCATACAGGACCAAGACTCTTCTCCTGTCTCTCTATTAAATAATACTGGGATCAGGCTGTTTGTTTCAGGAAATACCTTCTCTGTGTAGTTGTCCAAACTGCAAGTCCCCACCTGACTTCTCTCACTTCACACACCAATTACAATATCAGGGTTTCCCCAAACCATCCTCAGTTTTGATAATTCACAAGAAAGATTCACAGAACTCCCTGAGACAGCTGTTATACTCATAGTTGTGGTTATTGCAGGGAAGACACAAATTAGAAATAATCAAAAGAAGGGATGCAGAGGCACCTGGGTGGCTCAGTGATTGAGTGCCTGCCTTCGGCTCAAGGCGTGATCCCAGGGTCCTGGGATTGAGTCCCGCATCAGGTCCCTGTGGGGAGCCTGCTTCTCCCTCTGCCTAAGTCTCTGCCTCTCTCTCTCTGTGTCTCTCATGAATAAGTAAATAAAATCTTAAAAAAAAAAAACAAAACAAAAAGGAAGGGATGCAGAGGACAGAGTTGGGGAGAGGTCTAAATGTGGAGCTCTCACTTGTCTTCTCCTTATGGAGTTGCTGGAATTATGCTGCCCCTATTGATGTGTGACGATATGCACAGGGGAGCTCAGCAGGGCCTTTGGTGGCCAGTTTTTACTGGGGCTCGGTCATACACTGTGGCTGACTTTTTAGTCCTCAGTCCTCCTCGGGTCATGCTAATACCTCCTGGGGTCATGCTAATATTATTAGTCTCTGGTTCCTCCAAAGGTTGCAGTTGGTACAATGTGGTCCTAAACCCCCATCATATTCACATTGTTGGACTGTCTAGTGGCCAGAGCCCGGGCTAGCAGGTACTCTTGTTATGCAGGACATTCTAGGGGCCTAGAGATCACCTCCTAGTAGCTGAGGGCAGATACCAGACCCCCCCTGGGTGAGATGAATTCTTCACTATACATAGGCATTAGTCTGACCGCTGGGCAGGCAGTGCCAAGGGAGTGGGAGTGTGCGCTCGCTGGCACATCTCTAAAGTCACGTTTTATTTATTTTTTAAAAAGATTTTATTTATTTATTTACAAGAGGCAGAGAGAGAGAGAGAGAGAGAGAGAGAGAGAGGCAGAGACATAGGCAGAGGGAGAAGCAGGCTCCGTGCAAGAAGCCTGATGCAGGGACTCGATCCTGGGATTCCGGGATCACGACCTGAGCCAAAGGCAGATGTTCAATCACTGAGCCCCCAGGAATCCCACAAAGGCACATTTTAAAAGTTCTCTAAGGGGGAAAAAACTGACAATGAAAGCAACAAAGACTTTCTTTTTAATTAGAAGAAGATTTATTTTAAATTAAAAAAATTTTTAACTTTCTAAATTTTTTGCTTAATTATTTAATCACTTGATTTTTATTATAAACTCACTTTGATTGATAAAAGCCACACAGATTTTAACCAACTACATAAAGTATTTTATTGATCTTGCAAAAGTCCTTTAAAGATTTTATTTATTGATTTGAGGAGTGGGGAGGGGCAGAGGAAAAGGGAGAGAGAATGTTAAGCAGACTGTGCTTAGTGTGGAACCTGACCTGGGGTTCGATTTCATGACCCTGAGATCATGACCTGAGCCGAAATCAAGAGTCAGATGCTTAACTGACTGAGCCACCAAGCACCCCCCAAAGTCTTGTAGTATAAATAATTATATAATAATATAACATTAAGAAATTTTAAACTAGAAAGTCCTTCAACTGAAGAGGAAAAAAATACAGTAAGAAGAAAGAGGTTTAATATTTGGAAGTTTAGTCTCTGTCAGCAAGGACCTAAGCATAGTCAGGCTAGGTTCTGGATGTATTGTAATTTAGTGCTTTTCATCGCATATCAGTCCATTGTCTACCCATGGCTGGAATGATCTCCTGGTTTCTAACGCATTGCTCTTAGAGCAAAGTCAATACTCCTAAATGTGGTTTCTAAAGCCCTGTATGATCGGTCCCTGCTTCTTTCCCCGGGCCCATTTTCTGCCTCTCTCTCTACCCGGATGCACTTCTCACTTCTTATTTTGGAGCTTATTTTGCAGAGTTGAATGTTCTGTGCACTCTGGGCCCCTGAGCTTTCACAGATGTTTTCCCCAATGCTTGGAATAATCTCTCTTCCTCTAGACTTCACTCCATGTTGACTGGCTAACTCCTCCTTATCCTCAGGCTTCCACTTAGAAGTCAAGAAGAGGCTTTTCTAAAGCCTCAATTACAAAATGTATTTTCATCTCACCACCTACCCTGTAGTCAATGTAGTTAGAAGTGGAGGAGATTTTGGTTGAGCCTTTAAATCTCCTGGTGCCTGGTTGTTGTTTAGTGGAAATAATTCAGGTCCCACCTGACTGCATATGTAAAGGCTGAATGCAATATCACTGATTGTTCTAGTATCTAGACTCAGGAGGCAATGTGTGTAAAGCACTTTCCACTCGGTGCCCATAGCAGACTTTACTAATTAATCTTGACATTGGCACATGGATTGAGACCTATTTACCATCCTTGTTTAAAACTGAGACAGCCATGAGTGATATGTTGGTTCTACCTAACTGGTAGCTCTAGCCTAGAAGTTTGGTAAATTTTTTTATAGATGGTGGGGGGTGGATAACCAAATGTAGTCTCTCTCGTTAAAATAGCTTTATTATTGTAATAAATCTATAGAGAGAGGAGAACAGGGAGCGAGAGTCTCCCTTGTTAGTTAAACATGTTCCATTTGCACATTGGTTTGGATTCCCAGGAGAGCAGTATCCAAGCTGATGGATCTTTCCCATAAAAAGGCCTTGGCATTGGGCCATTGTAAAATTAAAATGAATTCAGATTCATTCATGCGTGCAACTTTAATTTACAATTAAAATATTATGGTTACATATTTTAATAAGAATAATTAGATGGGCCCAACTGAATCAACTCTTCTGTTTAATGAGATAGAACCCAGAATCCTAATGAAAAGGCAGGTGACTGTGTCAGAAAACATGTTTCAGACTGTCTTTCCATGGAATCAGGCATTTTCATTCTTTTTATATTCCAGTGTCCAGAGCAAGCAGTTGAGTTTTTCTGCATTATTAAAGACCCTCGCTTCCTGCCATGTTGAGCTCCTCTTGTGTGATATGTCGATAAACAGTTCCTTCCTGCTGGATGATGTTTTATCAGGTCCCACATTCTGGTCCCTCCAAGGCACTGGGTTTGTCCCTCTGCCCCTGGTGTGAATGGGATGGTTCTGCCTATGTGATATGACCAGAAGGGTGGGCTGAAACCCCTTCTGTGTGTGTGGGTGTCGGGGTGGATGTATATATCCCCTGCTGCCCTGGATCACCATGGCCAGATTCTCCCTTGAGAAATTTATATCTTTAGGGCAAGGGTTTTTCTTCAAAATGTACATACTTCATACTGGACAGCAACTATCGATCATTGGCACCTTAGTGGCAATAAATCCTGCAGCTTTATGGCAGCAGATATCCTGAATGGAGCAGACCCAGGTGGACCCAGGAGAATTCCAGGTGCCACGAGGACCCTGCCAACGAGGGAGGAGACAGGGCCATGCAGGGAGGGATATGAGGGATGTGCTGCTATTTTGTTTGTGTTGCCTTAAAACGTAACATTTACGTATTTGGGATATGTTTACACTG